ATGAACACTACTTTACGAGGAAACTGACGAGGAATACAAGTGGCATAACTGATTGCTGTTCTGCCAAGACCGATTAAAATCAGTTGACATTCACATACGTTATCGCATGAAACAAAATGGCGTTTCGGTCTGGCTATAAGTTGACGGCCTAATGTGGACTGCGTTCGGAAATGGGTGGTTTATACGTGACTTGTTGCTCACCGACTTGAAACTGTCGGCTGGCCTTGAGACCGGCGCCGGTTGCACCGACTACGGTTACACCTGAACCCGTTTAAAAGATCCGTACCGTGTATCAAAGAGAGAGTGATGATGTGTATAGCCTGCTCTGTACTGCAAATGTATCAGCCTGGAAGAGCCTGCCGACGAAAGTTTCACTCATCCAAGGCGTAGCGCTAAAGCGAGCACACAAAATGAATCGTACGAGACGTTTTCCCGTGGTTCAATGCAACATTTTCCCCTTGATCTCTCGGAAATAAGTAATATTTCCTACATGGGTGTTATCTAATAAAGGAATTGTTAACTACCTAACTTTCAAGAACCAGGCATAAGCACCACGTTCCGGTTGCTTTAACCTACAGGAAAAGTCCCAAGGACCTCTTGGACAGAAAAGTGGTTGGACTCCAGAGCCACATTTAACTGGGCGCTTGGTAAAGTGAGATGTCTCACTCTTGCACCCATCCAGGCAGTCGACCCTGACAGCTTTCTCTTCCGCAGCTGTTCCGTAATCGTCGAGATACTTTTACAAAATGCGTCCCCCACCACAACGGTCCGTTACCTTGGCATTACAGTCCCCTCGGGTTCCTGCTGATGCGATTTTGGAAACGATTTGCACTATTGCAGAAAAGGTGGGGTTGCCCAGTGCTTACTTAAGTACTACACCACGAGGGCGCAAGGCAAACATTCTTAATCTCGGTACCAGACGGAGATGAGTGGTCAGCTTCACAAGCGGCCACGTCACACCCGAAGAACCCACTGGATAGGAGGCTACGTGGTCCTCAGAATCGGTGTAGACTCAGTGGCACAGCCGAAAGTTTCATTACTTGCCTGAAATGGAACACCGGACGACTAGTTCATAGTTAATAGTCACCATACTCACCGAGCTACCCCAGCTCCAATATTTGTACTGTCATGGGGAATAACCAGTGAAAGCAGCTATCGTCCTATCCACTTTCCAAGAAACGAAAATGAAGATAGGGGTTTATAAAACCATAATTTTGGGTACATGAATTACAAATGTTTGGAACAGGGATCAGGGACATACATGCGCACTTGTATATTAGTGGGATGTTGAAAGCAATTTGTGTTTGACACAGGTAACGAGGAATGCTTTATGATTTACACAGCTACTATGATGGTATGATTGTTCAGTAGCGTGGCACATCCTCCTTGATGCTGTCAGGGTAACGAAGTTTTCTGAAAGGCACAAATTTGACGCTACTCCTTACATAGTTGTCTCCACTCCACTGTTACTTCATCTCATATTTTTCAACAAAGTTCTCTGTGGCAATGAGGTTGAAGGAGTACACTGTCTAGGTACACTGGCACACAGGAATCCCGAGTTCAGATCCATTTCGCATAATGGATGAGCGTTAAACTCTTTATGCAGGTACTGACCTTACGATGGAATGCTCCCCCATCCACAGACTTCTGTCCAATGTGTAACAGAAATAGAAAACTCTTCACCATTAACTAAGACTGCAGAAGACAAAATAAAATACAGCTGAAAGATAAACAGGAGGAAGAAACAAAGATAAAAGGAGAGAAAGCTAAAAAGATACTATATAATAAATACATGCATAAATAATTCGAACAGATAAAGAAGCAGACAAAAAGCCGAAAAAAAATTAAGTAAAGACTTAAGAATTCAAGGAAAAATACTGAGCGGATTATATGTATTTAAATGTATATTTTCACTTTTTATATAACAAGCGCTTCAGGGTCGGGAATATACGAACAACAGATAAATAGAAGTCTTCGGTAAATTTCGCGTGTGTTCGAAAGACCGCTATTCACTCCCGAACACAAGTTCGGCAATGTATGCATACCATAATAATTCCGAAACGCTCTTCCCTTCTCAGTCAAAATCTGCAACTGACTGAAAGGAGTGTGTTAGACATACAGTGTTTTTTATTTTTCTCTGAAAATGAGGAGACAGTTTCTGTTTACAGAATCTTTCAGCAAGAAATTTAATCGACATCGGTGTATGCATTATGGAGTTGTTTCGTACATACAAACACGACGAAGTGATTTTAATGGGCGTTCGGCAGGAATGCGAACGCGCCGCTATTTCATTCGTGCCTCTATACTCGTGGCCTCATCACATGACCCTGTCTCTCTGGAAGAATGACTAACTACGAATTAGCACTAGAACAAAGAAATTACTGTAATCTTCTTTCGCCAATGGCCTTCGGGCGTTTCTTGCCTTTCCTTTTCCCCCACTGTAAAATAACCGAATATCAGAAACCCGGAATGCAGATTAGGTGGGCCTGTCATCGTGTCTGCTTGTGAAAGCATTAGTTCTACTATATTACTTTCTTAAGAAGAGGGGAGGGGAGGGGAAGGAAAAACTACATTAAAAATGTTACTGCGTCATCAAAAGATATATCTGTTTATTCAACATAATATCCAAAGCAAACTGACGCATGAAAAGTGATATTTTCGTAAGTAATATTTAGAAGAGACATTTGTACAATGTAAATTTGTGGTTTCAATTCATAATACCTTGCTATGCTACGCAAACGTGTCATTTTATGCGCTTCTTTTACAAAGGTTGTGAAATTAATGCAACTGTGGCGTCTCCTCTGTTCAGAACAGACTATCGCAGTTGATAGCTCTTGCTGTTCGGTGTTTAAGCGTTCCACGAAGTTCCGTCATCTAAGAAGCCAATCACGTGACCAGTCTTCTTCTCAACTAATTGAACTGAGTTATTTATTAAATTATGCAGACAAGATTGTGACCCTTTGGTACTAAGCTTAATACAGAAAACAAATGCCTCACCTTTGATCTATATTCTGATGGAAACCTATAATTTCCCATGTTGAAAGGTCATATCCAGAGGAGCCTAAAAGTCAGTTAACTTATTTGTAAAATGTACACTAAAATACTTCTTTGTTACGTACTGAATTTACAGAAATTGTTCGAAATGAGATCCTCCATGTTCATTGCACAACTCACAACGCTGTGATACCGTTCTTTACATTGAATGGAAGTTTTAAATTTGAACATGCTCGTTCTTCTGAGAGAATGTTTTACGTTAACTGACTTTTGGACCATTCGTATTACCGACGTGAGCTGTCAAAGAGACAGCTAAAGAATTCGCGTTCGCGCTGAGGGCGACTCAGCCTCTAACAGAAATCTAACAGAAATGAGTACCAAGAATATTCTAAGATTTGAGGCTTTCACGGCGGTGACTATGAAGAAAGCAGTCTTCTGGGATTTGGCACCGTGTATATGTGGTGTTAACCGACGTTTCGGAGGAACGTATCGCCTCCATCTTCAGGGTAGAAGAAAAAATATAAGAAATCCGCAAGCGAAGAGTTTTGCCGGTTCTCACGGTCTCTTCACTTGCGGATTTATTTTTTCTTCTACCCTGAAGATGGAGGCGATACATTCCTCCGAAACGTCGGTTAACACCACATATACATAGTGCCAAATCCCAAGAAGACTGCTTTCTTCACCAAGAATATTCCTTGGGGCCAAGGGCGGCCGGCGCGTAAGGCGGACAACCTTACCTGCGCCACCTATGAGCCGACTCATTCCTATGGGCCTTCACGGCCTGTTACTGGGACAGCGTTACCCTCTTTTATGCTAAAAATGGACGAAAGAGCCGCTCAAAGCGACCAATGTTGGTGCACATTTGTATGACGACGTTAAGAAGTTGTAGCCAAGTCTGGTTAAACTATAGTTAAGCTGCCCAAAGAAAGACTGCCGGCACTGTGACGGCAGAGTAGGGAGGGAGGGTAGGCACAATACGGCACACTTCCCAATTCTGAGAACGGGAAGCCCACTGATGCTAAACCACGTGAGGAAGAAATTCATTTCCTTAAAAAAGAATTCAACAATCGTTTTCAAGATATATGAAAGTATGAGGGCACAGCTAACCTACTTTCGGTATCATGCAACATTAATGTTATCAAATGCAGGTAACAGATTTTCGATTTAACATGGACAACAGGAATACGTTTAGCGATGTTCGAATTCTTGGTTTCTATAAAGTCTGTTCACCTCCTCGCACGGCTCCGGTTCTTCGTGACCGCACACACAGGGAATGGCAAGCCCCTTTTCAGGAGAACATATTGTGACATGTTTGACATTTGTCAAAAAACAAACATTTTTAAAAAGTAAATCTGGAAATCGACTTAACCATGAAAGAATGGAAAGTTTCCCTCGAGTTGCTACTTTCACACATGTTTAGATATTGAGAGCTGCTGGCTAAGAAACAATGGAAAGCTTGTCGTTGGCGTTCTTTTATCCTTCAAAACAAAGTGGAAAATCCTTTAAAAACCATTTAATTAACTCTAATCGTTCTGTCGTTTAAAGCTGAGCGTAAAATCTGTTGCAAAAATACGGCTTTCATTCTTATCTTTTGGCCTGCATCTACGCAAGGTTTCTAGTCTTTCAAATTGACACTCATGGGAAGGAAGTTTTTCGTCATTGCACTTATACAGTGCTCTGATAATAACACGTTGTATACAGAATGGTTTCAATGGAAATGTACACTGCAGATCAAAGATTATGGGGAAGACCAAACAGACGCTAGGAAGAGGCTCTTGAAGTCGGCACTGGCATTAAATTATGAAATCCATGAAGACAATCAATCCTCTACTCCAAGGGCTACCCCACCAATATCTGAACGATTAAATTAAATATAAAGAAGCACTCAGTTGACTAAGTGTAGAAGAGGACTGATTAAGAAACGAAGAAATAAGAAGTGAAAGGAGAAGATAAGGAAAACTTCGCAACTTTCCTTCTTATCCAGCAAAAGATGACCTGTTACTCACCCGAGGCGATGCCCAGCACATTGCAGGTGTTGCTGATGTCCTCCCTGATCTGCTCGATCGCGAGTGACAGTACGGGCTCGATATTCATCAGGGTTGAACCCTCCTCGCCTTTCGCGACACTGCACGATGCCCCAGCCTCCTCCGACTCCATTTTGACCCTCACATCTGTGCCCGCAAGGAAGCCCGATGCGGCCAATCCATCGAAGTCAAAGGGCTTAAGGTTATACTTCCTCTGAAAGCTCATGTCCCTAAGGACCTCCCGGAGTAGCTGGTGGTCTCCAGGCTTTCTCTCAGCGCTCGCCTTCTCAGGGGCTTTGACGAGGTTTGAGCTTTGTCCAGAGGCTGCAGTGTTGGACATAACGCACTCGTGTGACATTTTCTGGGGCTCTTTCTTGACTATTTGACTGCCAGTGCCAAGGGACTCCTGAAGGAGTCTGGATTCCTGGAGAATCTCCTGCAGGTCTATTGTCTGTTCATGTTTGATGATGGTGTGGGTTGATGAGGGAGAGGGACAATGCTGATATGGAGAAGGGTTGTTGGTGTATGATGTGGATGAAGCAGTGGACCCCGCAGGGGATGAAGGCTGCGATGATTGTGGCGGGGCTGGATACTCCTGATGTAGGAGGTACAAGGGCTCTTCCTTGACTGGTTGCTGCTGATACGGAAACTGTTCGGGACTATTTGACTTGCTGTGCTGGCTCATCGTCTTCAGGACCTGCAGGTCGTCCAAAAATTCCGGGAACATGGGCGGAGGAGATCCTGTGGGGTCACAGTACAAGGACATCAGCTGCTGCAGGTTCGTGGGTGAGTACGGCACTTCGCTGTCAGAGGGCAGCAGCGACAGGTCGAAGCTGTCTGCTGCGAAGTTGGTGTAATCGCAGGGAGGACTGAAGCCTGCTGAAGGTACTGTCTGGGGCATCTGGAACAAGTGAGACCACATTCGCCTTTAGTAATATTCTTGTCACAGTATTACTGTTGCAGCTGAACAAGTGAACTGAATTGTGCTGGATTACCCATTCGGAGCTTACACAGCGATACGAGGTTTTGTGTTGAAAATCTATATAAATATTTTATTACTTCTAAAATGAAGGTACACTCCAAGTTACCAGAAGATCTGGCGAAAAAAATTGAATTCCTGCCATCGTAAGCTGAAGCTTTTTATGTTTTGCAGACACGTTAATTAAAGGCTCACATATCATTTAAATGTAGCTTTATTTAGAAATTATGTTCCTACTTCCAAGAAAACAATACATTTCGTGTTACGGTTGCTGATTTGCCTCAGAACAAAACGAAACCTGTAAATAAATATGGACAATACGAGACATGACAAGAAGTTAATTTACGCTACATGACACACACGGTTGCGAAGTACCTTTTATTATTCCCTCAACGGAAACACAATCTTTCTTCTTTCTTCTTCTTCTTCTTCTTCTTTTTTTTTTTTACTCTGAACATGGCACAAAACTCTACAACAAGCATGGGCTCGCTGAAGATCTGTTTGGTAAACCAAACTGGAATGCTGCAACCCGTATGACAACACACAGTTCCCACTGAGTTCTCGCATCTTGGCAATTTAACTGCTCCAAGTTGTTCCGAACAGTTTTGACGAAGATGATAATACTCGTAATACCAAGTATAACTCTGAACTTGATGTGTATGCAATTCTCTTCGAGAAAATTTCGGGGTGTTTTTAATTTCCTTAATAAATTTCTGAAATATGTAAGTATTCGTTATTTGACGGAAGAATTTGTTATTGCATGTAAGCCTAAGTCATGGTCTAAAATAAAGGATCTCTAGGCCTATTATAAAGTACTCAATACATGCAATATATGTACGGTAGTCCTACGTGTTGAGGTTTCTCTTATTATTCCATTAATTTCTGAGAATTATTACTCATAAAACAAAATGTTTCGGCATATAAATCGTCTTAATTAGACAACATTTTTATTTTAAAACATCTTTTTGGTGCAAACGCAATATTATGCTAAAATGTACAAGGGCTCCACAACCAATCTAGACACATTAGTGTCTTTCCTTTATCAAGCCGTCACTTTATTTATCATATTTATTACCTGTTTAACTATGGGTTTGATAACGAAGCGTTTTCAACTTCATAAGCTATCTAGCGTCAAATGGGAGGATAACTATGAAAGAAGGTCTGAAATTAATACTGAATGAAGTGGACACAGAATACTTTAGGGTTCTACCCCAACGCTTGCACAAAACTCAAACTCCGTGGCCTTTAGCCCGCAAGTGAACTATACCGACCGAGCGACCGCCGCTTGTCGGCGAAGTTAGTGCCAACTTTTGCGGATAGAGAGTGTCGCGTGGTCCGCGCAACGTATCCCCACGGCCGTTAATTTCGGTTTTCTAGACTGGAGCTGCTATTTCCTTGAAATAGCTCCTCAGTTATCCTCATGAGGCTGTGTGGAGCCCGTTCCAGACCCACTAATTCTCAGAAAATCCGGTGGCGTCGGGAATTGAACCCGGGACCTCTTGATCTATGGCCAGGAACTCTGACCACTAGATCACAGAAGCGGTCCTCACGGAACTCGGGAAAATCATACCATTTCAAACACTCCTAAACGGAAGTCGATTATACATGCTTCGTATCGATAAAATGAGTTTTACGTGACGCAGAAATTGAACTCTATCAATATTTTCCGAAACGGCTTATCGTACAAAGACATGTGCAAGTAAAATAAAATATACCTCTCATTATAATTCAAGGCGTTTGTTCGAAACATTTCTCACTATGGCGAACACTTTAACAAAACACGAAATGAAATAACTGGCACTAGGAAGTGTGACTAACTCTGCAACAGTACACCTGCACCTACTCTGTAAGTGAAACACTGGCGTTGGTTATTTTCTTTCTTTCTGTTGGAAAGAATGCATAGCTACGTATTTAACTGGTTTTAGTAACTGATCAAAAGATGACGATGATGAAACATCGCCGAGCGTCGCGGCCTACTGGATAGCGCTTCTGCTTGTATTCCACTGACCCTTGGATAATAGCTTGGTCCGGAGGACTGATCTCCTGACAGGTTCTTCGCGGTTTCCTTCAGTCCCTCCAGGCAAATATCCAGATACTACCCCAAATTCTGTAACGATGGCTTCCTTCCGTATCCCTTCCAATCCATTATTCACTAACATGCTGCTGAGAGCATAATTAAAATCACAAATAAATAAGAGTCAATTAAGCATTACGTTACATAAATGATAACAGAAAAGCATACCGCAATCAAAAATAATGAAGGCCGTTGAGAGTAGCGTGCGCCTACGTCTTTCAGATACACATCCACAACATTTACTGTCTGCGGGACAGGGACGTCAACCGCTACGGTCCCCACTCCTTCACTTTGTGAGCACAGCAGTTGCACGCCTTCCCCCCACTTTCTTCCCCATTGACATTTCTAGTCCACAGACAGCATATCAGCGACATTACACACTACAGCCCTTGTGGACCTTGGTTGCCTTTTCAGTTTCTTAATCTGTACAGAGTCGGTATGACTCTTTGGGTGGGGGATCAGCCCGTCGCAAAGCCGCTACTTACACATAAAACAAAACAAACATAGAATAACACACAGACAACCATTCAAGTGGGATTCGAACCCACGATCCAAGTGTTCGAGCGGGCGAAAACGGTTCATGCCTTAGATCGCGCGGCCACTTTGATCGGCGATAACCTAAATAAACAAAATGCAACTGAACGGTTACAAAATGCGCGTCAGAAGTATACAGTGTGTCCAGGTTCTGTTAGGACTGTGTTCATTAAAAATACAAGACGTGAATTATTTTCAAAATTTCACTCTTTGTAATCAAAGTAGTCTCCTTCTGCATCAATACATAGGTGGAATCGATTGAAAATTTTTCGAAAACAGTCACTGTACTCCTTTTGTTGAGTCGCATTTAAAACTGCGGTAGATTCCCTTTCGATGTCCTGGATGGTGTCGTGACAGTTTCCTTTCATCGCCAACTTAACTTTTGGGTACAACCAGAAATCTACTGGAGTCGAATCTGGCGAATACGGAGGATGATCAAGGTCTCTGATCCCTATTCTGGCCAAAAAATCTGGCACGATCTTCGATTTATGGGGTGGGGCATTGTCGTGGAGGAGCGACCAGGAACCTTGCTCTCGATATGCAGGTCGAATTCGAAGAATTCTCGCCCTCAAACGATTGAGGACTCCGAGATAATAATCAGAATTCACTGTTTGACCTTCTGGCCGAAATTCCTTCTGAATGATTCCTTTGGAATCGAAGAAAACGGTTAGCAGTGTCTTTACTCTACTCTTTTGCATACGAACTTTCTTTGGTTTCGGCTTCTTTGGGCTCAACCACGCTGCACTCTGCAGCTTTGTGAGAGGCTCATATCGAAATCACCATGTCTCGTCACCAGTAACAATCGATTTTGTAAATTTTGTATCATTTTGGGCCGGCCGTAACATGTCTTTGCAGTGTTCCACTCTGGCATGTTTCTTATCGCCTGACAGCGCGTGCGGTACAAACCGCGCATAGACCTTCCGTTTGCCCAAATCCTCGGTCAAAATTTGATGCACAGTACTTTTTGGTATTCCCAAAAGCTCCTCGATAAGTCTTGCAGAAACACATGTCTGATCCAAGGATTTCGGTCACTTTCTTCACACTTTCTTCAGTGCGACTTGCTCTAGGCTTTGATGCACGTGGAGCGTCTTGAGTGTCCTCCTTGCCGTCACGAAATACAGCATACCATCGAAGAATGTTAGAGCGACTCAAACAATCACTATCGTACACACTTTTCATCATTTCGTACGCTTCTCCGGCTGTTTTGCCTAACTTCAAACAAAATTTGATGTTGGCTCTCGTTCAACCGCCATTTTCCGACGATCGTCAGAACAGTACTGTTACATTCAAGGTCAGAACACATGATACAGCGATGCTTACGCTTTGAAATTATAGACATCCACAGCTGAAACTTCAAGAATCTTAACGCCACAAGTCGCCCACAGATGACATCGCAGTGCAAAAATTAAAAAGAGAGAAAAAAAGAGTCCTAACGGATCCTAGACACACCGTGTATGTCATGATTAATTATGTAAAATAGCAAAGAATATATTTAACAATTCATATATTTCTACTCCTGTTTATATGTTTCGGTCTGTTTCTGCAGTACAACATAATCAGTTATGTAAGCACGACAAAATCATAAAGGGCTCCAAACTTTGTCACAATATAGATATATGGTCAACATGCATAGGGCTTATCTGTGAAAATAAATCAGTAACATTAACAGAACACAAATTTTTAGTACGAAATTTTGGCCGTTTTCAACGGTACTATCTCATTCTACGTCATTTCAGATGTACAAACATTTGTCTACACGCTGCAACACTAGTTAAAACGAACGGCAAATAACAAAAATAATCCTGTGTAAAGTCTGTTAAAAAGTTCAAACTGTTTCTGAATATAACTTCCCGTAGTGTTTCAACACAACCCTACGTAACACTGCCAAAATTAGCACAGTCGTCAAGTCCAGTATTCTGAACTTTACCAGAATAAGTCTGAAACTCTTCTCTCCATGACAACAGAGGAACTCATATAAGAAAATGGTGCAAAGGCTTCTGACTTCCAGCTGCAGATGTCAACCGAAGACACAAAATAACTATCATCTACATAGAAAATGTCGATTTATAAACTCGTACCGTGCATGTTAAGTGTTTCTGTTACACAGTTTCCACTGACCGAATGATTAACAAGCATGAAAAAGGCCAGGCCACAGAAGTGGTCACGGCTAATTTTAATGTGCCTGGCGGAATCCTCAAAATAACCAAAACTGGCATTGGAGTTTTATGTATTTTTTTAATTTCAATTTCATTTAAATATTTCGAATTTTCAGTGTTCAAGAATTCATTCCTACTACAATGGGGAGGACTATGTA